TCTCATTGTATTCAATATTTGTCTAACGTAAAATCAATCAACCTAAACACTGTACTGTATAATATTATATCAATCCCACCTATTGAGCCTACGCATTTCTTTTTCTTTGAGAAAGTTTAATATTTCTGAAAAATAAATACATTAGACTCGTATTTGATTAAATCCAGTACAGGAATATGGTTAAAGAATCTGAAATGACATCAATTATATTGTGGTTTATATACTGTAATTCAATACATACATTAAATACAGAGTCACTTTAGAACTCTCATTGTATTCAATATTTGTCTAACGTAAAATCAATCAACCAAAACACTGTACTGTATAATATTATATCAATCCCACCTATTGAGCCTACGCATTTTTTCTTTTAGGTAAATGTATGTCCCCAGACAGCCTTTTCATTTTGTGTTTTTGGTCAAAATACAGTACATAGTTCCGATGTTTCAGGCTTACTTTTGTATTTTTGGGATTTTCCAATACTAAAACTATCTAAGAAAAAGCTTTTACGCTTGTCCTCTGATATTTTAACAAAAGAATAAAACCCTCTGTTATTATTTCCCTAAAATAAGATAAAACTTGAAGTCGAGACAATTTCATTCAAATACAACTGGTCATGAAACTCGCTATAAAACATCCTTAGAAATTTACAATTGGATGACAAGTCTACTTGCACAAGTCAAAGGGTACGCCTACATACAATTTAATATACCTTAATAATATACCGCAGCAGGAGATTAGCTTAAGTTTACCAACATACCCGCTGTGCTTGGAGGGTGGTATTGTCGTTATAGGGTAGTTTCAAACAGTAGGCTAGCTTTGTGGTGGTAAACATCTTAGAGACGTAAGTATGGGCAAATTATAAGATTGAATTTTTTTATGTTTATAATATGAGGGCGACTTGATGAATTTATCGAAATATAAAGTCGTATTTGTACCCCTGGTACAAATTTTTCAAGTCTTAGTTTGAAAATGAGGGGAGTGAAAATAGTAAACTTTAAACCACATCAATATTTAATCCAAAAAGAGTGCTTTCACCGGTTTTATATTCGGTACAAATAGGGTCTAATGCAACAATACTGGTTGTGAACCAATGAATATTACTGTACATCTAAAGTATGAGAAATCTACTATATTTAAACTGGTTGATGTTGTCGTGAAGTTATATTTACTTTATCTTGGTAGAAAACACAGCTTCAGGTTGCAGTTCATAGCGTTTATAATTAAATTTTATAAACGCAGTGGTACAATAATGTTTTCTTTTTTAATTGAGAGGAGTATAATAGTTAAACAACTATCTAGGTTCGTACGAACGTAATCTATTAATGGTATTGTAAATAATGAAATATTTTTAATCTCCAAGTTTATCCAAAAATAATAAAAAGTAGTCATAAAGTGTTGTTGACAGTACAAAATCAAGTCAACGTTTATCAAATGGTGATATATACACGTTAAGTGTTTTGGCTCTTCAATAAAAAATATTTTTATTTCTTCAAATTTATAATATTTCCCTGGTATTGCATGCAGTACAAAACAACGTATTGTAACATTGTATTTTCCTTAAGCAGCTTTCAATAAACAATTACTAAAATAAACGGTCAAATATTATGTCGATAAAGGAATGTGTTACATCCTTTATTCACATTGTCAATAAACAATTTCTTGTGTGTATATTTCAAACCGATCAGTAACTTTAGTTTCTTTAAATTGCATCTGGTTCCCTGGGGTCGGGGTGTTTGTACACATGTATGCCCAAGGCATCAGAACATCAGCACGCGTAACACCATAAGCCATTGTAAGAGGCTTGTACAGTAGTGTTAGGCGCAAGGGATTTTGGGGCTACATGCGCAAATTTCCTGCAAGCCGATTCAGTTACAACATTGAAAATGGTGAATTATATCATTCTTATTTTTGGAAAATACAAGACTTACTGCCTTCAAATCTTGAAATTCATATTTTATTTCAACTATAGAGATAATTTCAATGGTATTCAACTTGAATACCTAATGAAAATTTATAAAAATGCTGACAAAGTAAATATTAGATATTTAACTATTATAAAATTACATAAAGCTTTAGTTAGTGTATGAAAAAAAACGTTGTATTCTTTTTCTTCCTTGGTTTGGAAACGAACATGGTTTTACTTCCTATGGTCTAAGTAAAAATATATGTACAAGGACCAAGTGAATACACTGTAAACGGCATCACTGACTTTCCCGATAAATGGAGGGAAAACATAAATTTTTGGGAAAGCGAAATTTTTAAAGTGATAGAAGTAATCAATACTACTTCGTGTGTCTTTTCATTACGTTACTTAGCTTAGCACAATAGGGTTAATAGATTAGATATACATCATGATAAAACAAAAATCAATCCATAGACTTTTGACAAATCAACTTAATCACAGATCACACAGCAAAGCTAGTTACGTAAAAAGTTACGTAAAAAAAACTCGCTATAAACTGTAAATCAGACGTCTCTAAGCCACGCCTATAACTCTGCATTGATCGTTCCCTTCTATTGAACGCCCATAATAATAGCCTAAGTACACACTTAGAGCCGTTTAGGTCTTTACAACCGTAGATAAAACTGCCATTGAAGCGTAATGGGCAAATCGCTGCATTTAGACGTTGCGCCCTGCTTTGCTCAGTGATGCTGGGTTAAATTGTGTAGGCCTAATTGTGTCGTGTGGAAGTTATAGGTACTAAAATAACTGGGTGTACGCGTTAGTCACGTATGAGAAGGAACGAACGACTGTCCGATGCGTACAAATAATTTGTTTGTTAATAGTAATTGCGTTTTAAACAAAGGATTAATTAGTTGTTTCCGCAGCACCCTATCGTATGATAAATCAAATCCATACAAATTCTCACAAACAATGAGGAAGTTCGCTTGACCATCAAAATATCGCTCAGTGCCAGTTCGATCATGAGAAAAAACTGTAATTTTTTATGGTCCGCAACTGGGTCCAGTTGGATTACTAGTCCAGAAGGCTTTGATTGTTTGGCCTTTTGTTTAAGAAATGTTCCTGGAAAAAATACCCTAGTAATTATCAAAGCCTATCCCGAGTGGATAATTTCACTCCATCCTACATTAATCTTAGATTAATACAGTATCATTGACGTCAAAGAAAATATGTAGCTTGATATACGCACTTTATAGGGAGTTTCTGTCTAAAGAGTAATGATAATGATCATAGGAATAATGCTCGAGGCTTGTTTATTAAAACGTGTTGATGGATGTAAAGTATTGGCTTTTTCACTGCTTCTGACACCACCTGTAGTATTATAACGATTGTGAGCGTGACTTGCAGATCGTACACTCATGTGAAAGATGTTAATAATATTGAACTTTTTGCCGATTGTAACTACACAACAGGAAAAAAGTTGCACAACCGTATCCTACGGTAGTTTAGAAGTCGTCAGATTGGATGAAAGGTGCCGTGGCGCGTGTCCTACCAAGGACATCAGAAACAGTTGAACACATCAGATATCGGCTTGACACCGAGGAGAATTGAACTTCAGACATTCAGCCGCGTCCTTGTCATTTTCATCCTCCGATGTCGAACAGCTCCATAATCTTACTGACTATCGAGATTTCGAAAAGTATGTTATTAAAGTCACGTGTAGCGTCAACATATGTTGTTAATTGGATGTAATAATTTACCTTAGTGTATTATTAAAGACAAGTGGAAGCAGTGTAGGTATTGCTGCTGAAATAGCACAAAACTCTATAGTATCTTTATTAAGGTTTAAATTAGTAAACCCTAATTGCTGTAGTCGTCAAAGGAAATTAGAAATTGTTGGCGAAATGTAGCTAAGATTACATAATTCGTCTTAAAATCAAAATTTTAAGCTGCTACATAGTTAAAAAAGATTTATATCCTTGAAAACTAAAGTACCAAGAAAATAACAATGACAACACAACTAACACAACATAAATCAAGAAAATGTAAAAAAATACTGGTTCCTTCACAATATACTTTCTTCTAAGTAACCACAGTAAACAAACTTATCATGGGTTTAATTAGCAAAAATAGTACCTAATGTTAGATGGACTTTTAACTCCCTATTACAGAACCCATATTTTATAGACGTCAAATCAAATACTGTAGATTCGTAAACACATGATACCAATTGAAAATTATTTACCACTTGGAGAAACCCGTTGAAATCGACGGTTAGGGGCCTCTTCGTTTATATGGGCGTGCGGCTTCATTGGCAACAAATAATGCAAATAAATGACATAGCAAAGTGGCATTTCCAAAAATAAAGAATACTGTAAATTGGCTGTTACGTAAATATTAATGTTAAAATGCATTGTTAATCAACGTATCGTATAAAGGATGATGTGGTCTAGTTTAAAAGGAATATGACCTTTCTGTCATTACAGTAGCTGATCAAATAGTATTTACTCATTGGGCCATTTTCCAGCCAAAATGTCGTGTTATTTTCAAAAATATTAAACGCAATCTCTAATCTTGCCCAAAAATGTCTCCTCAGGGTACTTTACCTTAGAGTCTCTATGGTGATTTAGTGCTACACCTTCACCTATATTTATCACACCATACACTCTGAGAAAGATGAAATTATCGAAATTGCCTATAGTTTCCAATGACTTATGGTCGATTTAAATTGTTTATTTATTGACTTGAGACTTTGATTTCTAAAGAATTGCAACCTAATTATTTATCGTATTGTGGCCATCATTGCATAAACTTATTCCTTGTCAAATCCTTATCCTTTGAGAAGATTTCCCCGATTTCCCATACACTTATCTCTAACATTGCCCTGGACCCCAACGCACCCCAAGAAATCTAGTGTGCAGCCCGGAACTGGGCATTTAAACAATATTTGGAAGGCTATTTCCTCATCTACACATCTTGCTCTCTTTTACATCTTGTTCCTAGTAGCTCGGCATTTCATATTCTTCTACTAACCCAGATTTACTTGTAGTCAACCCTCTAGCACAGATGTTCGAACAGGTTAATGTGAAGACAGATGTGGATGTTACAGATGCACGGGTTCGATGTCCACGGCGGCCCCCACCCCCCACCACCCCCCGCACACGACCAGGGTCTGGGCCCTCCCCCTGGGGACATGGTCCATCCGGACTCCGCGGACTCCTACGTCACCTACCTGGAGAGTGATGATAGTCTACATCACGACGGCTCGAGCCCATAACGGTAGGTTTAAAGGTTAACGTTATTAGGTTTATAAGTTAAAGGTGTGTTGAATTTATTGTCGATGGTATGGTGATGGCCTTCCAGCATTGGCTTTGAATAAAGGAGTAGAAAATCTCTATGGACCTTCTGCAGCCAGTTTTGTTTTAAACAGAACCCTGAGCAATGACCTCTTTCTAAGAGTTTGCTGCTATCCAAATTCTTATTCATTCTCCTGATGATCCTAAATCCTGAACTCTGGAACGGTCTAAGTTTGTTGAAGAGTCTTGTTAATTGCCAACAATTAAGATTGGGCACCATAAACTACCTTTCGTAGTTATTTTAGTTTCAATATACACATTTGACATATTGTATACACATGTTGTCCTGAGACAGTATTGTAAAGATATTGAATTGTTCACAAGATGATTTGGTTTATAATTAATCTTGACATTGTCCAGTGAGGATCAAGATTTTAAGCATCCCTAACTATTTTGTAACTACTCTTAATACTTGAATTACAGTTTGCAATCAGATTCATAAATTTACATTCATATTCATATTTACTCATATTTATATTCATTTGAGATGGGGACGCCACCTAGGTGCGTATTTTAACCCAAATATAAGTGAAGGATGAGTGTAGAATGGTGTAGCTTTGTTACTGACGAAGATCAGCTGTTTCATTAGTTATGACCAATTATTGAAAGCCAAGACCAAGGACAGCTCAGTCCAGTTTGGGCTAAAATCTGACTCCTTATCAGACCTGCACAATATACTGCCCCATAAATGTATCTGGACATAGCCTCATCTCGTAACAATTCCCTGTATAGGAAACTATAAACATGGACATTTAGTTTGCAATCTGAATTATTATTGTAATTATACTTTTACATCATTAGTTTCTGTAGTACATCATATTGGTTCTTGTCGAAGTCTCTGGACTTACAGGACCTTATCTTGTAAAATTTCCTTTATACTAAACACTATTTTCTGTTTTCAGGTCAGAGCCGTGACGTAGTGCGCATGTACAAAGTCGTCTGTACATACGTCCCGACTGTACATAGTCTTGTACATAAGTGTCTTAGGAAAACCGACGTGAGTGATTGTAATGTTTCGTCATCTAAGTTGGGCTTTGACCTAAACCTTTGGGGTTTAAAACTGTTGGTTTTAGGTTGCTATGAAAATTTTCAATAAAATATTTATTGAATATTATAAATACCTGCAGATACGTTCTAATAAAATATATTCAAATTTGTTGATCGGACTTTATGTGATACTTTTATGTATGGGCTTAGTGTTCTTTATCTCGAGGAGTGATTGAGTAAATTCTTAAAACTGCACAAATTTAAAATATTTTGTGTCATACTCAGAAGCCAGAAATTTGCAACAATAAAAAATATTCATGTTATTGGCTGCTGTCATACAGTTTTATTTTTTTTCACATCTGTGACAATTTTATAATTTTCTAGGAAAATATCTATTCCTATGGAATAAACTGCTGTAGACTAGTTACCTATACAAAAAAACATCCTACTTGCAACTATAAAGCCAAACTTACATGACGAAACAAAAATATACAAAGTGTACATTAAATAATAAACCAACATTTCTCAGTGAAGTAATTTAATGGGTCAATGTTTAATCAGTACTGCCGTGGACCGAGTTTTTAAATCTTGACGTAGGAGGTTGTATTGTATTTTTAAATTTTTTAACTTAACATAGGATAAGATCATTTTGTCATTTAAGTGTTGTTATACCCAATTTTATTGTTGAAGCGAACCTGTGAGATTTTATGAACTTATCCATTCGACTTTGCTTTTGAAAAGTTAAAGTAAAATATTACTGTGTAAAACTCCATCAATTTAATTGATTCCTTAAAGTTGATATTGTTAAGATTAAATGTAAAACTAGAACGTGATTTTATTTTATAAGTGATTCTTTGCCCTTCTTACATTTCCAACTCATAGTTCTTGAGACAATAAATTACCATTGTAATTTGTTATTCCCTAAACTTGGTTGTTATTTATTTTTATATGTAGCCAAAATCACGATAGACTCGTTCCTAAAAAGAGGAAACTAAATAATTTTGAATTAAACAAGAAACTAAAAGGTATAGAGAATTAACACCTCATACAATAAAGTTTACTTCTCTGTTACATTCAAACAATTTCTTACAATACCTTTTTTGAAGGTTTACACATTGAATGAGTTGCAAGTTTAAGTATAAGCGTTGTTCAAATTTATGAGAAGACCTGTCAATGATGAAATAGAATCTTCTTCAAATCTTTAGACAAAGGTTTCTCTTTTTATTCTGCCATAGTGGAATCACCAAATAAAAAGTGAAATCTTTGTTTAAAGATACAGTGTGAAATTTTCAAAATTGATTTTTAATCTGATAAATCAAGTTAAATAACAATTTAGGTTACCTTAAAGAAATAAGTAGACTACTATAAAACGATTTTAAAAATGTAATTGTTTAAATATAACCATTTCGTTATATTTTCTAGTTGTACCTCAAACCTGTGTGTTGCAATTTTGTTAACATGTTTTACCCATGTAGATATTGAGTGTACATTGTACATGATTGTACATACTGATTTGTACTGTAATTGAGTTGCTGTTGCTGAGCACAGTTCAGAGATTCTGTGTCGTCAACATCAATAAAACAATATTAGTTGATTCTCCACCGCCATGTTTATTTCATTACCTCTCTCTCCGAGTGCTCGATTTTCAATTCGTTTAGTTTTTCTGTTTTTGTTTGTTTGCCCACCGAGTCCAATCTATCCAAGGCAATTGCATTTTTCATTTCCATTTTGTTTTCTGTAGTGTAAAGGGATTACTTTTCCTCGTTTTTACTAGATTAGCCAATAGCATTCGCCATTCTTTCTGAAGGATGTATTTATTTTAGTTGTGTTTTTTTCATGTTGCAGAAACAATACATTATTTTTAATGTTGCCTTATGATTGAATTTATCGATTTCGGATTTTAATTATTTATGAAGTATTGCTTGGTTTCGTGTATTAATGTATTAAACTAGTTGATCAAACTAAATTTTACTGTATGTGATTCGTAGTTCTTTCATCAAGTTTCTGCACATACAGAGTTAAAGCATAGAAATGTGGGGTTTATTGTTGAATGTTCGGAAAATACTTACATGCTTGAAATAACGTATGAAATTCAAATATTAAACTAATAAATTTGGCGTAGACTTCTACCGTAGACATATAGTTAACACAAAATAAATGTTTAATTATGAAGGAAAATATAGCAAAATGTAATGCAAAGTCGAAGGCCAGTTTTCAGTAAATAAAAGTACTACAGTATAACAAATTAAGTCTTTCCCATTTCTTTAGTTTAAAATATGTATTTTGGGAACTCACAAGTTCTTCTGTTCTACCATTTCAGTCTAAACTAAGATTTCTATAACAAATAGAGTATGTTTTTTTATAAATAAATATTTGATTTTCACACTCTCTTGACGACACATCCACATGACGTTTGTTATTCAGATGTTTAACAAATTTAGACCTTCATTGTAACTATCTGCAATCTTTGACTATAGTATCCAATGGCAAATGCTGCAGTACAGTGGGGTATATTTGTCATACTGTTCGATAGTATGTCTCTTTACTGCATTCAATAAAACACACTCCAGAGTTCAAAAGTGAAAGATTCATCTACAGGCTTGCAGTAAGCTGTTTAGCAAACCATTGAACAATAACTCAATACTCTGTTCTGCACTTTATGTAAAACCTGTTCTCAAAACCAACCTAGAAAATATCGTAGGTGTTTAACGATAGAACACGTGTTTAATAACAATGTTAAACCTTTAGTCTATACCATTGACTATGAATCCTTAAATGTCTATACACAGGAATAAATTAGCCTATAAACTCACACAATTTAGTTAGAATATCCACAGTATACACAATAATTATAGTTCTACAGGCGTTACAGTTCAAATAGCAACAGTCAACACAGCAACAGTATCACGCAACAGTCAACAATAGCATACTGCTAAACTCTACTGACGGTAAAATAACTATAGAACATCAGGAATACCCAAAACTCAATACATTTCCCTCTGTTCGTCTGGGTAGTAAGATGACATTCAGACTATCGACCGCCCCCTTTCCCCCCCCCCCCACCCCCAACATCAATCACTTCTTAAGAGTTCGTGTGAAAAATCTACATTTTCCTGAGGGGCAGCGAGGCGCAAGGGGTAGGTAGGGTGAGGGTAGCGACCAATACGACAAGAGATGCTATCTTTACTATAACGGCCTTCCAAGAGGAGGGGGGAACTATCAATTATGTCAGGATACATATTCTAATACTAGAGGTAGGTAGTGATAGGTGTTAGGTGCACATGTTTAACAAAGATTTGTATACTTTACTAATGTATTTACTAATGAAACAATCCTGGAGTTGTGGGTGTCGTTATTTCAGGATGAAGATTACAATTAAAAATAGATAGGTGGTAATTTTAGGGTGAATGTGGGCATGTCAGTTCTACAGAGTTACGACATAATATTACATTTTTAAGGGTTAAAGACATTACTGTATTGAGTATGGAAATAATTTATGTGAAGAGGCTATGTATAAAAACCATGTCCCGTTGCACGGACAGAACAAATAGTAACAATGTTCACAATAGGCAGATGGTGGTTATAGATTATTGGTGGTCATGCCAGTTTCAAGGAGTTAGTACAGTAATTTGACATTAACGGTTTGAGGTTTTATTGAATTTAGTAAGAAAACAAATGATACGGTATTTGTAAAGTTTTAGTCTTAGTATTCTCAAATAGAGAGAAAATCCCCCTCGTCCGAGTTACCTATCTCCGATTTTCCGGAGTGGCCTCCGAACCACTTAGTCATCGCATGATATAGCAAAAATTACTGTACAGCAAAGATTTCCAAACATAATATATGGGCCCAGCTTATGAAAATACAACATAAATATAATGTGATTGGCTATACTCGTATATCGCCACTAAAGCCTCGATGAAAGCTGAGGAATCATATTTAAACCATTTAAAAAATATAGATAGTATAAGTATAGTAATCTCTAGACATGAAAACCTAAAAAAATACTCATGACAATTTTCAAACTCTATCTTGTAGCTGTCAAAACACATAAACCCACAACCATGCACGTCATATGTTCAAACTAATCTTCGTCATGTTTCTTCACCAGTTTGGTATTTTCATAACATGCCAGACTCCCGACAGAGAAACTGCAGCTTTTAGTCCTGATTACAGCCTAAAAGCATCTTCATCCTTATCAGATAGGCGCCTGCTCTCTATTCAAACATTGTACCACGGATCAATTGTTTCTTTGTAAAATAATAAACCTATTGTTTTGCTAGGTAAATTTGTAATAGGTTGGAACATTTAAAATTTTTGACTTAGCATCAATTTATGTGGCAGGGTGAAAAGGATTCTCACCCAATTTATAATACTAAATTTATTACTAACTAATAATAAATTTACAATTTATAATACAGGACGCTAGAACTGAATTATAGTATTTAAAACTAAGGGATACAAACTAGACTACATTTTAAAATTGGGAAATCGTCTAGTGGTTGGATGTAGTTTTGGGAGCATTAATACATTTTCCTTATTAGAAATACTGCAGCAATACACAGTACGGTATTATACAATTATGAATTTGTAAATTTAAACAAATCTGTGTTTTAGAGGAGTAAGAGTTAAGATAGGAAGTGATGAAAATTGAAAAATGTTATATAAACACTCAACTGTTCTAAGTTTGCTTTACAAATTCAATTAAGGTAAGACAGGCGTCAAAATGTTTTTTTTACAAAATTTTTTTATTGTTTATTTTTGCAGACCTGTTTTTTTTTGTTTCCATAGATACTAAAAACAATATAAAAATAATAATATATCTATGTTTTATAAGAGTTTTTCTGAAACTTAACAAGCTCCGTTTTGTCAATATTCATAACTCGTCTTTTTTAAGACAGGCGTCAAAAATTTTTTTACACCACTTTTTTATTGTTTAGTTTTGTAGACCTGTTTTTTTCCATAGATACCAAAAACAATATAAAAATAATAATATATCTATGTTTTATTAGAGTTTTTCTGAAACTTTACAAGCTCCGTTTTGTCAATATTCACAACTCGTCTTTTTTAGTTTTTCGCCATTTTCCGAAAGTTGAGGTTTTTAACACTTCGGTACACTTTTTGGCA